CTCTGAGATATTTAAGGATCTTTTTCTTTTAATTTTTTTATTTTTTTTAATAAGACGAGGTTTCACCATGTTGGTCACGCTGGTCTTGAATTCCAACCTCAGGCGATCCTCCTGCCTTGGCCTCCAAAGTGCTTGGATTACAGGCCTGAGCCACCACGCCCGGCCCAATAGGATCTTTTTTAAGTTAGGTGGCAGACATTCAACTTTGTCCATAAATGTATCAGTTTAGTCTCCTTATCTTTTAATCTCTGATGAGCTAAATAAACTATGTAAATACCTATATTTACTAATGCATAGTCACTCTGTAATATACCTTGAAAGGCACATCTCTCTAAATGGGATCAATGATTAAAAAAAAAAAATACACACCGTGATACTACCGTTGTAAAAATATAGCCCCTCTAGTTTAACTGCAATTATTAAGTCTCTAAGCATACGAGGGTAAACCTGAATGATTGGTTCCTTGGCAATGACAAGACAAACTGTATTTCTGTGAACTAGCAAATTGCTTAATACACCCAGATATTTTGAGAGTACTGTACTTTATATACTTATTTCATGTAACCCTCATGTAATAGACAGTGTCAGAGATTAAGGAATTTACTCTAGGTCAGAGTGAGTATGGCCAAAGAAATCTGAATTCACTTTTGACACACCACAAAGAGGAACGTTATAAACATGCCTAGTAAGTGCAATGAAGAATTTGTGCAGTGAAGCTTGCTGAACTGAGTCAGAAGACACTACCACTGTCTCTTTGGCTATCATCTGGCCCATGCCTCAGTTTCCTTACTATAAAACTAGGAAGTAAGACTACTCTGATAGGCACCAATGTTTAAAAATTTTGTGTAATAAGTAAAGGCTATAAATTCATGAATAGAAACTGTGAGAAAATTTTCTAAGAATCTAAACTCTCATTTTCTAGATTTTTTTTTTTGTAGTTTAGGGGTAATCTGGAGGTCACCGAATTTCCTTGGATTGCCAGCCCAACCCCACTCCAAATCTTCCATTATCCACCTTGAGGCACCTCTTAGAATAAATAACACACGGCCCGGTGGCTCACGCCTGTAATCCCAGCACTTTGGGCGAGTGGATCACAAGGTCAAGAGACCATCCTGGTCAACATGGTGAAACCCCGTCTCTACTAAAAATACAAAAATTAGCTGGGCATGGTGGCGAGCGCCTGTAGTCCCAGCTACTCAGGAGGCTGAGGCAGGAGACTTGCTTGAACCTGGGAGGTGGAGGTTGCGGTGAGCTGAGATTGCGCCATTGCACTCTAGTCTGGGTAACAACAGCGAAACACCGTCTCAAAAAAAAAGAAGAATAAATAACATACTAAAGCATTTTCAACTCCAAAAACTGGTGCTAAGGGTGCTAAGTAAGACATATTTTACGGAAGTCTCTTCCTCAAAATCCTCTTTAATTACCTTTGCTCTTTCCCTAAACTTTCTCTCCCCAAGGTCAAGCCATATTTCTTTTTTTTTCCTATTTCTACCAATTTTGCTGAACTCCTTACACCCTCTCAAAATCCTACTTGCTTGTACCCAGCAGGACAAAAGCCCTGGAACACCTACTGTTCTTGAAACACAACAAGAAAGTGAAAAGAAAAAGTCCCAATTCATACAGGAATTTTAATACAGTATTGTACTTTCAAAAAAGAATACATCTGGCCAGGCTCATGGCTCATACCTGTAATCCCAGCACTTTGGGAGTCCAAGGTGGGTGGATCACCTGAGGTCAGGAGTTCGAGACCAGCCTGTCCAATATGGTGAAACCCCATCTCTACTAATAATACAAAAATCAGCCGGGCGTGGTAGCACACGCCTGTAGTCCCAGCTACTCGGGAGACTGAAGCAGAAGAATCACTTGAACCCAGAAGGCAGAGGTTGCAGTGAGCCAAGACTGTGCCACTGCACTCCAGCCTGGGTGACAGAACGAGACTCTGCCTCAAAAAAAATAAAAGCACCTTCCTATCCAGTTTTCTTCCCTGCCCTGCTCCAAACCCACTGCCACAGAGAACCAATATAACTGATCAGAGTATGGAATATAATATATGTAACAAAAGTAATCTCATATTTGTTTCCAATTGTATTTAGTGTATCATTGTGTTCAATTAAGAAACTATTTGGAATTCCTTATGAAAACATCATTGAAAATGCACACACCAGCTGGGCATGCAGGTGGCTCACTCCTGTAATCCCAGCACTTTGGGAGGCCAAGGGGGTAGATCACAGGAGCTCAAGAGTTCAAGACCACCCTGGGCAACATGGTAAAACCCCATCTCTACTAAAATTAAAAAAATTAGCCAGCTGTAGTGGCGTGTGCCTGTCCCAACTACTTGGGAGGCTGAGGCACGAGAATCGCTTCAGCCCGGGAGGCGGAAGTTGTGTGAGCCGAGATCGGGCCACTGCACTCCAGCTTGGGCTACAGAGTGGGACTCCACCACAAAAAAAAAAAAAAAAAAAAGGTGTGGTGGGGTGGCTCACCCCTGTAATCCCAGCACTTTGGGAGACTGAGGTGGGTGGATCACCTGATGTCAGGAGTTCAATACCAGCCTGGGCAACACGGTGAAACCCCATCTCTACTACAATACAAAAAAATTAGCAAGGCAATGTGGCCCACCCCTGTAATTCCAGCTCCTCTGGGAGGCTGAGGCAGGAGAATTGCTTGAACCCGGGAGGTGGAGCCTACAGTGAGCCAAGATCGTACCACTGCAGTCCAGCCTGGGCTATCAGAGGGAGACTCTCTCAAAAAAAAAGAGAGAAAGAAAGAAAAGAACAGTATTATTTTAGGCCACTTAGTTTCTTAATCTGTTCAAGGTTCTTTATACATACCATCTCAATCTTTTGTCAACAGTAGGGCAGGTGTCAGAGGAGAAAAACTGAGGGTGAGGCAAGGGAAAGGAAGCCCCTATGTAGTTAGAGTAAACATCTAACACCAGTCATTAACCCATGTATTCAACTTGACATTGGAATTTAGATCCTAAACTACTAAGAGGTTATCAACTGACGATCATTTGGTCTGGAATCAGTAGTTTAGTATGACAACGTTTTTGAACTTCAGGTCCAGTTTGTCAGTTTTTGATAAATTTATCTCAGGAAAAAAAGATATTCCATAAAGAATAACAAACCACTAAGCCAGCCAAGGTAAAACCAAGCTATGCATTAGAAAATATAATTCTAAATTTAGCACACTAAATTATAGCAAGGAAAGCCCTCACGCCACCATTCACAAATCTTTGTTCAGGCAACTTATTTTTGGCAAGCTAAATCAGGGCTGTCAACACTGGGTTTTTTTTTTTCCCCCTACCCGAAAATTATATTAATTATTCTGGGGAAAAAAAAAGACATCTTCAACTTGGGGAAAGGTTACAAGTGCCGTGTGTCCTATAAATGCTTACTTTAAAAAGTCACACGGAAGGGGGTTAAAAAAAAAAAAAAGCAAACAAACAAACCCTGGAAGATTGGAAGATGCAGCAGAGCCCCCTTGCTCCCGAAATAAAACTCCTGGTGGCTGTAACAGCAGCGGCAGTGCTACTCCCGACAGAAGTTTTCAGCTGTCACTTCTAACAGCTGAGCGCTTCCTAGGAGAGAAGCGACAGGCCGAGAAGAGAGGTGGTTGTGGGAGGTCTGAAGATTTAATACCTGAAATCCTAGATTCGAAGGGAAACCCTCCACACTTCACCTGTACTTACGGGACTCCCAGCAAGCGCAGCCCTCGTATCCCCAACATACGCTCACGCCACCCGCGCCCCGCCACACTCAAGTCCAGCAGCTCGAGGTATCGAGCACGCGCCCCTTCTCTTTCCCCCTTCAGACTGCTCAGGGCTGCGCTGACCTAGAGCTAAGGGTGCGACCTGCACCTGCGATTCCTGCAAAGGCCTCACACCTAGAGCCATGTCCGTCCCACCCGCTCCTCAGTCTCGGGCCGCGCGACCTTCAGCTCTTCCAGGAGCCCCCCCGGGTCTCCACGCTCTAGGACACACCGCGCTTCCTGACCCCGCACCGCCGCCCCGGCCCTGTCACCTCGGGCCCCCGGAGACCCCGGGCCTCACCCCCTCCTCCAGCTCATCCTCAGAGCCCGCGTCCTCCGGCTGGTCCAGGTCTATGTCAAACACTCCTGCCATGTCCTCAGCTTCCCTGTCTCGGAAGTCCGGCGCTGGGTAAAAGCCGTCCCGCCTCCTTCGTCGCCTCATGGGCCCGGACCCGCCGCAGCTACCACCGCCGCTGCCGCCATCACCGGCTGCTTAGGCTCAGTGCGTCTGCGCCTAGGCCCTAGACTGGCTCCTAAAGTTCAGCGCAGGAGCATGCGTATATGGTCCCGTGAAGCCAAACTGTTGGCAATGGACATGCGCAGAACTATGGTCAGCATCCAGGTGCTGGCAGAAACATGCGCAAAACGCGAGCCGAAGCTGCTCCTGGAGATCAGAGCATGCGCATTGTCAGCTAAAGCGTTCGGTGAACAGTGAGCATGCGTACCACATCTGAAGTTCGTAAATTGAAATTGAACATGCGTAATTAATCTTTCTGAATAGGAAAAAAAAAATACACAACAAAACTCTCCTTTTATGGAACATGCGCATTGGTTCTCAATAACTTTTTCGTTTTGAAAGTGAGCATGCGCATGGTGAGTAGGTTGGTCTGAATTTGAGCAGGATAGAAGCGTCTGGTCGGCGTTTGGTGGTGAGTCGTATAGATGGGGAAATCTTGGGGCCGGTGTGGAACGGCAGACCTTTTGGCTTTGTTGTTTATTAGTTCTGTGGCCTTGGAAAAGTCAATAACCGTTCAGAGCTTCAGTTTCCTTATCTGTAAAATGAGGATAATTATATACCTACTTTACAGGTTTGACATTTTAAATACAGAATCTGTCTCTCAACCCACGGCTCATTTCCAGTAATGCATAGATCTGATGTGAAGTCTTTATCAAAAATTGTCTCTTTTCCTAGGTAAAAATAATGAGAACCTGCTCTAATATTTCTTTTTCTTTCTTTCTTTTTTAAATAGACACAGGGTCTCGCTATGTTGCCCAGGCTGGTATGGAATCCTTGGGCTCAAATGATCCTCGCACCTCGGCCTCCCAAAGTACTGGGATTACAGGCACGAGCCATTGCGCCCGGTTAATATTTCCTCTGATTTTCTTTCTCCACGCTCCATCTTTCTTGCTGTCCTACCTGAGTTAAACACAAAATCTTTCTTACAGGTCTTACTAAAGTTACCAGGCTAGACTAGTGGAGAAAATGTAAGTCATTATTTAGAAGAGAGAAAATAATGTTAACTTAATGTGCAATGTTGAGCTCACGTCTGCATTTTACATGTCTATGTGGTGTGAAGGCTGGTACTACTAATTCCTTCAATCAGCATTTGTTTTGTCTTTTTTTTCTTTTCTTTTCTTTTTTTTTTTTTTTTTGAGACAGGAAGATGTCACTCTGTCACCCAGGCTGGAATGCAGTGGCAAGATCTTGGCTCACTGCAGCCTTGACCTTCCAGCCTCAGGTGATCCTCCCAACTCAGCCTCCCGAGTACCTGGGACTGCAGGCACACACCACTACGCCCAGCTAATGTTTGTATTTTTCATACAGACAGGGTTTTGCCATGTTGCCTAGGTCAGGAACTCCCATGCTGATGTAATCCTCCCAACTCAGCCTCCCAAACTGCTGAGATTACAGGCAGGAGCCTCTTTTTCTTTTGTCACTCCTCAGCTGAGGAGACGGTTTTGTTTCAAATGTATGTTTAGGAAAAAAGTGAGTACGAATCAGGTTTTGGAAACTATTTAGCTGTGTACGAATGGATTCAGGTACAGTAAATCACAAATCTCAAAACCATATAGAGAGTAAGAGAAGAACTCCCTTGAATGACTGGCTCCTTAGACAACACAGCTGATTCATCTGCAACATTATATACGTATGTGGCATTTTAAAATTACTTTTAATTGATGTATAATTAACACATATGACATTTTGTTCTGATTAATAATGTAGTGATTCTCAAAGCCTATTTTTTTTTTACAGGTTGTTCACTTTTTTGAGATAATACACCTGGTTTGTGGTTCGGCATGTCAATTGTAACAGTACAACTTGGTCAGTGTGGCAATCAAATTGGTTTTGAAGTTTTCGATGCTTTACTTAGGGACTCACACAGTTTCCAGGGACTGTGCTCTAAGAGAGAAAATGAGGCATATCAAACATCTTGCAAAGAAAGATTCTTCAGTGAGGAGGAGAGTGGAGGTAGGTGTGGCCCGCAGTCCTCTCCTTTACTCTGACATAACCAACCCGTTCAAAGCCAGGCCGTCCACATGGTTTTCAATCCCCATTCCTTCCCATCTCACTAGGGAATGACTTTGTTTTTGCTTTTTGTTTCTATGTTAATAATCTTTGCCTTTGAGTAGCATTTTCCCCTCCACATGCTCAGATCTCACCAATTTAAAACCAGCCAACCAAAGCTCATCTCTTGACTGTGGCTTTCTTTTTCCTTCTTATCTCTTTGCCTTCTCATCTAAGATTCTCAAAAGAGGACCCTGCTTTTGTTCTTTTTCCTATAGAGACAGGTTCTTGCTACACAATGTTGCCCAGGCTGGAGTGTAGTGACTATTCACAAGTCTCAGCCTCCTGAGTACCTGGAACTATAGGTGCACGCCACCATACCTGGCTCTTTTTCTTTTCTCTTTTTTTTTTTTTTGAGACAGAGTCTCACTCTGTCACCCAGGCTGGAGTTCAGTGGCTCAGTCTCGGCTCACTGTAACCTCCACCTCCTGTGTTCTACCAATTCTTATGCCTCAGCCTCCCAAGTAGCTGGAATTACAGGTACCTACCACCATGTCCAGCTAAGTTTTGTATTTTCACTGTGTTAGCCAGTATGGTCTCAATCTCCTGACCTTGTGATCAGCCTCCCAAAGTGCCGAGATTACAGGCGTGAGCCACCGCGCCCAGCCTGTTTATTTTCTTAATTCACTTCTCTACTACATTTGATAACAGTAACATATAAAATCTCTCCCCGACCAGGCACAGTGGCTCACGCCTATAATCCCAGCACTTTGGAAGACCAAGGCAGGCAGATCACTTGAGGTCAGGAGTTAGAGACCAGCCTGGCCAACAGGTGAAACCCCATCTCGACTAAAAATACAAAAATTAGTTGGACATGGTGGCCCATACCTATAATCCCAGCTACTTGGAGGTTCAGGCAGGAGAATCACTTGATCCCGGGAGCAGGGGTAGCAGTGAGCCGAGATCACTCCACCGCACTCCAGCCTGGGAAAAAAGAAGGCTGGGCACAGTTGCTCCCAGCACTTTGGGAGGCTGAGGTGTGTAGATCACCTGAGGTCAGGAGTTTGAGACCAACCGGGCCACCATGGTAAAACCCTGTCTCTACTAAAAATACAAAAATTAGCTTGAGTATGGTGGCGCACATAATCCTGGCTACTCGGGAGGCTAAGGCAGAAGAATTGCTTGAACCCAGGAGGCAGAGATTGCAGTGAGCCAAGATAGTGCCACTGCACTCCAGCCTGGGCGTCAGAGCTAGACTCGATCACAAAAAAAAAAAAAAGTCCAGGTGTGGTGGCTCATACCTATAATCCCAGCACTTTGGGAAGCTGAGGTAGGCAGATCACAAGGTTAGGAGTTCGAAACCAGCCTGACTAACATGGTGAAATCCCATCTCTACTAAAATACAAAAAAGTAGCTGGGTGTGGTGGCACGTGCCTGTAATCCCAGTTACTCAGGAGGCTGAGGCAGAAGAATTGCTTGAACCCAGGAGACAGAGGTTGCAGTGAGCTAAGATAGCACCACTGTACTCCAGCCTAGGTGACAAAGCAAGACTCTGTCTCAGGAAAAAAAAAAAAAAAAAACCTCTCTCCTTCAACCTCCTTCTCCTTAGTCACCCCACTTTACTTCTCCAGTTGTCACATCTCAGGCTCTCCCCTGCCCTCACTTGCATAGTTTTTTTTGGGCAATTTCAGTCACTCTCATAGTTTGCTACATTTATTACATCTGTGACTTTCAAACCTCTAGCCCAGCCTCTCTTCCAAGCTGCAGGCAGATTAGTGGATATCTCCATCCATGTCTCATATGAACCTCAAACTCAACATCTCTATACCCAAGGCATTCATTATCATTCCTTATGCTCTTGCTGCATACATACCATCAAACAACATCTGCTTTTTTGACCTCCTGTATACTCCTTAAAACTGTTCTTCCCTTTCCACCTTCACTGACATTGCTTTAGTTCTCGCTTTTGTCCTTTCTTACCTGGACTGTGTCAAGACACTCCTTTTAGGATTCCTTGCCTGGAGTCTACTGTCTATCATATCCATTCTCCATACTGCTGTATTTAAAAAGACATCTAACAGCTGGGCACAGTAGCTCATTCCTGTAATTCCAGTGTTTTGTGAGGCCAAGGTGGGAGGATTACTTGAGGCCAGGAGTTCAAGACCAGCCTGGACAACAGAGCAAGATTCCATCTCTCCAAAATAAAAAATAAAAATTAGCTGAGTGTAATGGCACATGACTGAAGTCCCAGCTACCTGCAAGGCCAAGGTGGGAGGATTGCTTGAGCTCAAGAGTTTGAGGCTGGAACAATCCAAGATGGCCGATCGCTAACATCCCGGGATTGCAGCTATCAGTGAAGGCGCAGAGAACTAGAGGACACCACACTTTCAGACAAATTCTGGTCGCTCACAGAGCAGAAGATCCCCAGTGGAGGAAACACACGGGTCACCAGCGCGACTCTCGTGGCCGGCGCAGCGGTTCCGCCGGCACCTCAGCCCGGCAGCTCTCAGAGCAGAGTAAACAGGTTCGGAGGACCTGCACGGGTCCCCAGCAGGACACCAGAGCCTGGCGCAGCGGCTGTGATGGCACCTTGGTGCAGCAGCGCTCGGCGCAGAGTAAACGGGACCGATTCCCCTTCTGACCAAGGTTTGGAGCCCTGGGAAGGCAGAGTCGCCTACTACGGACACAAGAAGGAAGCCAGACAGGAGAATCCTGGGAAGAAAAGCACCATCAATTTTAACGCCGCTGCTCTGGCCCTGGGAACTAACAACCTGGACGTCCACTCAAGAGACCTAATCTGAAAGTTGGTAAATTCAAAGACGACAGGAGGATAAATTTACAATGACGGGAAGAAACCAGCGTAAAAAAGCTGAGAACACTCAAAGTCAGAACGCCTCTCCCTCTAAAGATTATCACAGTTCCACATCGACAATGGAACAAGGCTTGATGGAGAACGAGCGCATCCTGATGACAGAATCACTCTTCAAGGAATGGATAATAACAAACTTCGGTGAGTTAAAAGAACATGTTGTAGCCCAACGTAAAGAAACTAGGAACGTTGAAAAAAGGTTTGATGAAATCCTATTGAGAATAGACAACTTAGAGAGGGGTATGAGTGAATTAATGGAACTGAAGAATACAATACAGGAACTCCGAGAAGTATGCACAGGTTTAAACACTCGAATTGTTCAAGCAGAAGAAGGGATATCAGAGGTCAAAATCCAACTTAATGAAATAAAACATGAAGAAAAGATTAGAGAAAAAAGGATAAAAAGGAATGAGCAAAGTCTCCAAGAAATGTGGGACTATGTGAAAAGACCAAATTTACGTTTGACAGGTGTACCTGAATGCGACGGAGAGAATGAATCCAAGATGGAAAATACCCTTCAGGATATTATTCAGGAAAATGTTCCTAAACTAGCAAAGCAGGTCAATATTCAACTCCAGGTAATACAGAGAACACCACAAAGATATTCCTCAAGAAGAGCAACCCCAAGGCACATAATCGTTAGATTCACCAGGGTTGAAACGAAGGAGAAAATACTAAGGGCAGCCAGAGAGAAAGGTCAGGTTACCCACAAAGGCAAGACTATCAGACTTACAGCAGATCTCTCAGCAGAAACTCTACAAGCCAGAAGAGAGTGGGGGCCAATATTCAACATCCTCAAAGAACAGAACCTTCAGCCCAGAATTTCATATTCAGCCAAACTAAACTTCACAACTGAAGGAAAAATAAAATCTTTTATGAACAAGCAAGTACTCAGAGATTTTATTACCACCAGGCCTGCTTTACAAGAGCTTCTGAAAGAAGCATTACACACAGAAAGAAACAACCAGTATTAGCCTTTCTAAAAATATACCAAAAAGTAAAGAGCACCAACATAAAGAAGAATTTACACCAACGAATGGATAAAACAGCCAGTTAACATCAAATGGCCGTAACCCTAAATTTAAATCGACTAAACCCCCCAATCAAAAGACACAGCCAAAACCCAACGGCATGTTACATCCAGACCTGTTTCACATGCAAGGATACACAAAGACTCAAAACAAAGGGTTGGAGAAAGATTTACCAACCAAACGGAGAGCAAAAATAAATAATAAATAAATAAAAAGCAGGAGTTGCAAATCTCGTATCGGATAAAATAGATTTTAAAGCAACAAAGATATAGTGGTAAAAGGATCAGTGCAACAACAAGAGCTAACGATCCTAACACCCAGATACATAAAGACTTAGACTCAATGAGGCAGAAAATTAATAAGGATATCAAGGACTAGTACTCAGATCCGGAACAAGTAAACTTAATAAATATTTATAGAGCTCCCCACTTCAAATACACAAAATATACATTCTTGTCAATACCACATCACACCTACTCATAAGTTTAAATGAAACATTGATTGGCCATTATTAATACCCAATTTTTTTCAGAATAAAGCAATATTTTCGTTTACTCTCCCTCTTTCTCTTCCTCTTTCTTCCTCTCCTTTATTTTTTTTTTCTTTCCTTCTCTCAAAAAAAGAAATCAGCTTGTAAACCTCTAGATCCAGGTTGGCAATGTCTCTCTCATGGCTTGATTTCCTTCCTTCCCTTCCCTTCCCTCCGTCCCTCCCTCCCTCCCTCCCTCCCTCCCCCCCCCTTCTTCCCTTCCTTCCCTCCTTCATCCCTTCCTTCCTCCCTACCATCCTCCTTCCCTCCCTTCCTGAAAAAAAAAAAAAAAGTTTGAGGCTGCAGTGAATTATGAGCAGCAGACATCTAATTATTCCTCACCTGCTTAAAAATTTTCAGTGGTTTATTATGGCCTGAAAGATAAAGTTCAAGTTTTTCTAGCATTGCCTACAAAGATTTCCAAGATTGAGCCCTATCTGCTTTTCATCTCCATCCATCACTTCTGTTCTCTCCTCCATCCTCTGCCCCAATGATTCTGAGCTGGATGTTGTGCCCATGGTATTTTGGACCTCTGAACATGAGGCTCCTTTGGTGTGGGTTGGTTTGGTCATATCATGTTGCAGTGTGCTTAAGAGTTGATGTGTTTATCTTTCCCACTAGTCTTTTTTTTTTTTTTTTTTTTTTTTTTAGAAAGAGTCTCCCTCTGTCACCCAGGCTGGAGTGCAGTGACATGATCTCAGCTCACACTGCAACCTCTGACTCCTGGGTTCAAGCAATTCTCATGCCTCAGCCTCCTGAGTAGCTGGGATTACAGGCAGATGCCACCGTGCCTGGCTAATTTTGTATTTTTAGTAGAGTCAGGGTTTCATCATGTTGGCCAGGCTGTTCTCCAGTTCCTGGCCTCAAGTGATCCACCTACCTCAACCTCCTAAAATGCTGGGATCACAGGCATGAGCCACTACGCCCGACCTCCCACCTGTCCTTTCTAAGCCTGGTTTGATGTCTTCATTTCCATATTCCCAACACAGTCTGTGGTACATCATCAGCATTCAGCATGTTTGTAGACCTGAGCCAGGTACTGTTTTAGGCCCACACTGATTCAGCCTGCTTAGCAAATACTGGGCTTGGTGAATATCTGCATATGCCTATTGCCCACTGGAATTTCTAAGCAGTATGGCAGCTCTTTCTATCCCCAACCCCTTGGTGTTTTTTTTTTTGGACTTGGACACTTACGCTCTGAGTTACCTAAATAAGACATAAGAAATCTTTTCTTTGGCCGGGCGCAGTGGCTCACACCTGTAATCCCAGCACTTTGGAAGGCTGAGGCAGGTGGATCACGAGATCAAGAGATCGAGACCATTCTGGTCAACATGGTGAAACCACATCTCTACTAAAAATACAAAAAATTAGCTGGGCATGGTGGCGCGTGCCTGTAATCCCAGCTACTCGGGAGGCTGAGGCAGGAGAATTGCCTGAACCCAGGAGGCGGAGGTTACGGTGAGCCGAGATCGTGCCATTGCCCTCCAGCCTGGGTAACGAGAGAAACTCCGTCTCAAAAAAAAAAAAAAAAAAGAAAAGAAAGAAATATTTCCTTTTGATGTTTTTTTTTTTCCTCCTCTAGTTCCAATTGCCCGGGCTGTTCTTGTTGACATGGAACCCAAAGTTATCAATCAAACGCTGTCAAAGGCTGCCCAGTCTGGCCGATGGAAATATGGTCAACATGCATGCTTCTGTCAAAAACAAGGTTCTGGAAACAACTGGGCATATGGGTAAGAATAATTCCTTGTGATTTTCAGTTTAATGATAGCTACATAGTCAAATAATAGACAGTGAAGTTAGAATTGTACAGTTGATATACGAAGCACATAATCTTGAAATTGCTGTTTTAGAATTTGATTTTACCCAGAAGAAACTGTCATTCCATCTCTATGTCTGTGCTTAAGGTATAGGTAATGTTGAAATCAAGGATCCCTTTCAGCAGAGTTTTTCATCTTCTTCACTGTCATGTGGCAAACTAACTTACCAATATAATATCCATATCTGGCAGGTATCTCAATGATAGAGAATACTACAAGACGGTAGTTCCCAAACTTTGCTGCACATCAGAATTTCCTGGGGATCTTTGGGAAAATCCGGATGCCTAGGGCTCACTTTGAGAGATTCTGATTTAATTAGGGTAAAGCCCTGATGTTGGGGTTTTTTTGTTGTTGTTGTTGTTTGTTTGTTTTTTTGAGACAGAGTCACTTTGTCACCCAGGCTGGAGTGCAGTGGCACGATCTAGGCTCACTGCAACCTCTGCCTCCTGAGTTCAAGTTATTATTCTGACTCAGCATCCTGAGTACCTGGGATTACAGGCACATATCACCATGCCTGGTTAATTTTTTGTATTTTTAGTAGAGACCAGGTTTCACCATGCTGGCCAGGCTGACCTCGAACTCCTGACCTCCTGATCCACCTGCCTTGGCCTCCCAAAGTGCTGGGATTACAGGTGTGAGCCACCGTGTCCGGCCTTTTTTTTTTTTTTTTTTTCTTTTGGATGGAGTCTCGTTCTGTCACCTAGGCTGGAGTGCAGTGGCATAATCTTGGCTCCATGCAGCCTCCATCTCCTGGGTTCAAGCATTCTCCTGCCTCAGCCTCCCGAGTAGCTGAGACTACAGGTGTGTGCCACTATGCCCAGCTAACTTTTGTATTTTTTTAGTAGAGACAGGATTTCACCCTGTTGGCCAGGCTGGCCTCCAACTCCTGGCCTCCAATGATCTTCCTGCCTCGGCCTCCCAAAGTGCTGGGATTATAGGCATGAGCCACTGTGCCTGACCTGATGTTGGGATTTTTTAAAGGTCCCTAGGTGACTTTATATGCAGCAAAATTTTTTCTTGTTTTTTTTTTTTTTCAGACGGAATCTTGCTCTGCCACCCAGGTTGGAGTGCAGTGGTGCCATTTTGGCTCACTGCAACCTCTGCCTCCTGGGTTCAGGTGATTCTCCTGCCTCAGCTTCCCAAGTAACTGGAACTACAGACACGCCACCACGCCTGGCTAATTTTTGTAATTTTAGTAGAGATGAGGCTTCACCTTATTGGCCAACCTGCTCTGAAATTCCTGACTTCAAGTGATCCACCTGCCTCAGCCTCCCAAAGTGCTAGGATTACAGGAGTGAGCCACTGTGCCTGGCCATGTGAAGCAAAGTTTGAGAACCACTGCTTCAGGACTGTTGCTAGGAATAGTAAATATTATACTGTATCATAAACTTGTAGAACTACCTGGTATTGAAAGCCCCAGCTAAAGAAATGGCCCATACTCATGCCTGTAATCCCAGCAATTTGAGAGGCCAAGGCAGGGGGATCAGTTGAGCCCAGGAGTTCAAGTCCAGCCAGGCAACAAAGGGAGGCCCTGTCTCTACAAAAAAAATTATAAAAAGAAATTAGTAGCCAGGTGCAGTGGCTCACGCCTGTAATCCCAGCACTTTGGGAGGCCGAGGCGAGTGAATCACGAGGTCAAGAGATCGAGACCATCCTGGTCAACATGGTGAAACCCCGTCTCTACTAAAAATACAAAAAATTAGCTGGGCATGGTGGCGCGTGCCTGTAATCCCAGCTACTCAGGAGGCTGAGGCAGGAGAATTGCCTGAACCCAGGAGGGGGAGGTTGCTGTGAGCCGAGATCGTGACATTGCACTCCAGCCTGGGTAACAAAAAGCAAAAACTCCGTCTCAAAAAATAAAAAAAAGAAATTAGCCAAGTGAGGTCAGGCATGGTGGCTCATGCCTGTAATCACAGCACTTTGGGAGGCCCAGGTAGGTAGATCACTTGAGGTCAAGAGACCAGCCTGGCCAACATGATGAAACCCCATCTCTACTAAAAATGCAAAAATTGGGCCTGGCACAGTGGCTTACGCCTATAATCCCAGCACTCTATGAGACCAAGGCAGGCCGGGCGCGGTGGCTCAAGCCTGTAATCCCAGCGCTTTGGGAGGCTGAGGCGGGTGGATCACGAGGTCAGCAGATTGAGACCATCCTGGTCAACATGGTGAAACCCCATCTCTACTAAAAATTACAAAAAATTAGCTGGGCACGGTGGCGTGTGTCTGCAATCCCAGCTACCCAGGAGGCTGAGGCAGGAGAATTGCCTGAACCCAGGGGGCGGAGGTTGCGGTGAGCCGAGATCGCGCCATTGCACTCCAGTCTGGGTAACAAGAGCGAAACTCTGTCTCAAAAAAAAAAAGAGACCAAGGCAGGCGATCATCTCAGGTCAGGAGTTCGAGACCAGCCTGGCCAACATGGTGAAACCCCATCTCTGCTAACAGAAATAATTAGCTGGGCATGGTGGTGGGTACCTGTAATCCCAGCTACTCAGGAGACTGAGGCAGGAGAATTGTTTGAACCCAGGAGGGAGAGGTCACAGTGAAATGAGGTCATGCCATTGCACTCCAGCCTGGGCATCAAGAATAAACTGCATCTCAACAACAACCAAAAAAAATAAGATGGGCATGGTGGCCTGCGCCAATGGTCTTAGCTCCTCAGGAGGGTGAGGCAGGAGAATCACTTGAACCCACGAGGCACAGGTTGCAGTGAGCCAAGATCGCGCAACAGCACTCCAGCTTGGGCAACAGAGTGAGACTCTGCCTCAAAAAAAAAAAAAGGAAATTAGCTGGGCAGCCGGGCATGGTGGTTCTCACCCATGTTCCCAACAGTTTGAGAGGCCAAGGCAGGTAGATCACTTGAGGTCAGGAATTTGAAACCAGCCTGGCCAACATGGTAAAACCCCCTCTCTACTAAAAATACAAAAGTTAGCTGGGGGTGGTGGCCTCTGCCTGTGGTCCCAGCTACTTGGTAGGCTGAGGCAGGAGAATCATTTGAACCTAGGAGACAGAGGTTGCAGTGAGCAGAGATCCTGCCACAGCACTCCAGCCTTGAGAGATCTGTGGGGATCGCTCCCGTGTGAGGCCCCTAGGAAATGGGCCTCGCCATACGGTGAGCTTGAGCCTGGACACAGATCCCCGGTTGAGGGAGTCGAGCTGAGGGAAAGCAGGAACCGAGAGAGGGACTATGCTATTCAAAATAATTAACAGACATTACTTTATGAATATGAGGACTTGGGAAGTATTGTGTCCACTTTTGTTTCCTTATAGTGTATTGTTTCATTATGTTCATTTTGGACCCTTGTTACATTCATTGTAAAATATTAACTTAAGTATATACTGGGTGTAACTTACTGGGTGTAACTTACTGGGTGCAATTTAACTTATCTTGACTTACTGGGCGTAAGCTACTTACTAGGCGTAACCTTCTTACTGGACGTAACTTACTTACTGGGCGTAACTTGCTTACCTTGTGACTTGACTTAAGAATTTTGATCTGATGTAAACAACATTAAGCAGAAAACTATATAATGGAACCTATTGCAAAAATAAAATTGCTGCATGGACATAGCTCATGTGGCCCTCCAGACCTCGCTCTTTTCTTTCTCCTTTTTTCCGGCGCACGCTCTCTTCCAGGTTTGGGACCCTCGCTGGACGAGATTCCCAGGCTCGCGTTCAGTTCACAACACTGCCTGGGCAGCCAAGTGAGACTCCATGTCAAAAAAAAAAAAGAAATTTTTCAGGGATGGTGGCATGTGCTCGTAGTCCTAGTTACTCGGGAGGCTGAGATGGGAGAATTCCTTGAGCCTGAGAGGTCAAGGCTATAGTGAGCTGTGATTGTGCCACTGCACTTCACATTGCTCTCCAGCCTGGGTGACACAGTAAAAACCTAACTCAAAAAGGAAAAAAGAGGCAGGGTGAGGGGTACCAGGCACAGTGGCTCATACCTGTAATCCCAACACTTTGGGAGGCTGAGGTGGGCGGATCACTTGAGGTCAGGAGTTGGGAACCAGCCTGGCCAACATGGGGAAACCTTGTCTCTACTAAAAATAACAAACATTAGCCAGGGATGGTGGTGCACGCCTGTAGTCCCAGCTACTCGGGAGGCTGGGAGAGAGGATCACTTGAACCCAGGAGGCAGAGGTTGCAGTGAGCCGAGATGGCACCACTGCATTCCAGCCTGAGCGACAGAGCAAGACTCCATCTCAAAAAACACAGAAACAAAAACAAAGAAGGAGAAAAGGAATAGCCTACAAAAGAGAGCTTTTGGAGGAAGATTAAAAGAAGCTGCTCACTGGGTACAGTACTCATGCCTATAATCCCAATACTTTGGAAGGCTGAGGCAGGAGAATCACTTGAAGCCAGAAGTTCACAGCCAGCCTGGGCAGTATAGTGAGACCCTGTTTTTTTTTGTTTGTTTTTTTTTAAAGGTTGTTGCTAATGTGTACAAAAATACAGTTAGATAGAAGAAATATGTTCTAGTATTCAATAATACAGTAAGGAAATTATAGTTAACAATAATTTATTGTATATATACCTTTCATGAGAGTTTCTTCACTTCCATAGTTTTGAAAAGACATCTCAGGGCCAGGTGTGGTGGCTCACGCCTGTAATCCTAGCACTTTGGGAGGCCGAGGCGGGTGGATCACCTGAGGTCAGGAGTTCAAGACCAGCCTGTCCACCATGGTGAAACCCCATCTCTAAAAAAAAAAGACATCTCTATCCTGTATCTTTTTCTCTGCGTTATATATCTGTAAATTAAAAAGTGTTTGTGTTTGTTTCTTTTGCCTTTGCATAGTTACTCTGTTCATGGACCCAGGCATGAAGAATCTATAATGAACCTAATCCAGAAGGAAGTGGAGAAATGTGACTCTTTCAGTGGTTTTTTCATCATAATGAGCATGGCTGGCGGCACAGGATCAGGGTTAGGAGCTTTCGTTACACAGAATTTACAAGATCAGTATCCAAACTCATTGAAAATGAATCAGATTATTTGGCCTTATGGAACTGGTGAGGTATGGACATGTTGGTTTTTTTATTATTATTATTGCATTTTAGGTTTTGGGGTACATGTGAAGAACATGCAAGATAGTTGCATAGGTACACACGTGGCAGTGTGATTTGCTGCCTTCCTCCCCTTCACCTATATCTGGCATTTCTCCCCATGCTATCTCTCCCCAGCTCCCCACCCGCCGCTGTCCCTCCCCTATTCCCCCCAACAGACCCCAGTGTGTAGTGGTCCCCTCTCTGTGTCCATGTGTTCTCATTGTTCAACACCCACCTATGAGTAAGAACATGTGGTATTTCATTTTCTGTTCTTGTGTCAGTTTGCTGAGAATGATGGTCTCCAGGTTCATCCATGTTCCTACAAAGGACACAAACTCATCGTTTTTGATGGCTGCATAGTATTCCATGGTGTATATGTGCCACATTTTCCCTGTCCAGTCTATCATCAATGGGCATTTGGGTTGGTTCCAGGTCTTTGCTATTGTAAACAGTGCTGCAATGAACATTCATGTGCATGTGTCCTTATAGTAGAACGATTTATAATCCTCTGGATATATACCCAGTAATGGGATTGCTGGGTCAAATGGAATTTCTATTTCTAGGTCCTTGAGGAATCGGAGATATGGACATGTTAATTGAAAAATTTGTTTTCTATTCTTTGCAGTAGAAATAAATGTGGATAAAAGATTGCTCTCACCCTTTCATTGGAAATGGTAAATTATGGCTTCCATAATGGTTATATAATATAGCACTTTCATGAGTAATTCATTTAACTTTTCTTAAACTTTTTCAAACAAACGAGGTGTCCTTGTTTTTAAAAATTTCAGAGGCCAGTTGTGCTGGCTCACACTTGTAATCCCAGCACTTTGGGAGGCCAAGGTGGGCAGATCACGAGGTCAGGAGATCAACACCATCCTGGCCAACATGGTGAAACCCCATCTCTACAAAAATTAGCTGAGTGTGGTGGTGCAGGCCTGTAGTCCCAGCTACTCGGAAGGCTGAGGCAGGAGAATCACTTGAACCCAAGAGGTGGAGGTTGGAGTGAGCTGATATGGTGCCACTGCACTCTAGCCTGGCAACAGAACAAGGCTCCATCTCAAAGAGAAAAAAAAAAGCCGGACACTGTCTTATGCCTGTAATCCCAGCACTTTGGGAGGCTGAGGCAAGTGGGTCACCTGAGGTCAGGGGTTCAAGACCAGCCTAACCAACATGGAGAAACCCTGTCTCTACTAAAAATACAAAATCAGCTGGGTATGATGGCACATGCCTGTAATCAGCTACTTGGAAGGCTGAGGCAGGAGAATTGCTTGAACCGGGGAGGCAGAGGTTGTGGTGAGCTGAGATTGTGTCATTGCACTCCAGCCTGGCCAACAAGAGTGAAACTCCATCTCAAAAAAAAAAAATCAGAGAGTGGCTGGGCACAGTGGCTCATGCCTGTAATCCCAGCATTGTGGGAGGCCGAGGTGGGCAGAGCACCTGAGGTCAACAGTTTGAGACCACCCTGGCCAACACAGAGAAACACCATCTCTACTAGAAACACAATAATTAGCTGGGCATGGTGGCACACACCTGTAGTCCCAGCTACTTAGGAGGCTGAGGCAGGAAAATCTCTTGAATCTGAGAGGTGGAGGTTCCAGTGAGCTGAGATTGTGCCACTGCACTCCAGCCTGGGAGACAAGAGCGAGATTCTGTCTCAAAAAAAAAAAAATTTTTTTTTTCCGAGAATAGCCAGACCGGGTGACTCACACCTATAATCCCAGAACTTTAGGAGGCCCAGGAAGTGATCACTTGAGGCCAGGAATTCGAGACTAGGAATTCAAGACCCGCCTGGCCAACATGGTAAAACCCTGTCTTTACTAAACATACAAAAATTAGCTGGGTATGGTGGCACAAGCCTATAATTCTATTTACTCAAGAGGCTGACACACAAGAATCGAATTGGGAGGCCAAGTTTGCCTTGAGCAGAGATGGTGCCACTGCACTCCAGCCTGGGCAACAGAGTGTGTCTTATCTCAAAAAGAAAAAGAAGAAACAGCATAAAGAAATTGAAAAATTTGTCTAAGGTCACATAGCTAGAAAGTGACAGAGCCAGGATTTGAACCCAGGCAGGATGCCTTTAGAACCTGTAATCTTAACCACTATTCTCTCCTACCTTTCTTATTTTTGACCTTTTCCTCTCCAGGTTATTGTTCAGAACTACAACTCTGTTTTGACACTTTCTCACTTGTACCGATCTTCAGACGCTCTCCTTGTTCATGAGAATGATGCCGTCCATAAGATCTGTGCGAAACTGATGAATATCAAGCAGATCTCCTTTAGCGACATCAATCAAGTCCTGGCACATCAGCTGGGAAGTGTGTTCCAGCCTACTTATTCGGCAGAAAGCTCATTTCACTACAGACGAAATCCCCTAGGTATTTGTCCCTCTGTATGTTATTTGTAGGAAAGCCTTATGTTCTGAAAGCTTCAAGTTTATTCTTTCTGTCTTCTCCTCTGCCTGAAGATACACTTAGGTCTTGCTCATCTCAAAATCCTTTCTTCAGACCTGCTTAGTTCTCTGACTGTCTTACTGAAAAACTTTGAAAACTTGCTAAATTTCCCAAAAGGGCAGTAAGTATCCACTGGTCTTCTTCAGGATTCTTTCTCTCTCTCTCTCTCTTTTTTTTTTTTTAATAGAAACCATATTGATGTATAACTCACACAGCATGCAATTTGCCCATTTAAAGTGTACAAATCTGATTTTTTTTTTTTTTTTGTAGAGACGAGGTTTCACCATAACCAGGATGGTCTCGATCTCCTGACCTCATGATCCGCCCACCTAGGCCTCCCAAAGTTCTGGGAGTATAGGCGTGAGCCACCACGTCCAGCCAATTTTTTTTTTTTCTTTTTTTTTTTTTTTTTTTTTTTTTTTAAAACAGAGTCTTATTCTGTTGCCCAGGCTGGAGTACAGTGGTACGATCTTGACTCACTGCAACCTCCACCTTCTGGGTTCAAGCAAGTTTTCTACCTCAGCCTCCCAAGTAGCTGGGACTATAGGCATATGCCACCATGCCCAGCTAATTTTTATATTTTTAGTAGAGATGAAGTTTCACCATGTTAGCCAGGCTGGTCTTGAACTCCTGCCTCAAATGATCCACCTGCATTAGCCTCCAAAAGTGCCCAGTTAGCATTTTCTTGAGTACAGCAGCCAGACTGAACTCCAGCTTTGCAGTTTTTAAAAGCATAAGTCGGCCGAGGTGGGTGGATCACGAGGTCAAGAGATTGAGACCATCCTGGTCAACATGGTGAAACCCCGTCTCTACTAAAAATACAAAAAATTAGCTGGGCATGGTGGCGCGTGCCTGTAATCCCAGCTACTCAGGAGGCTGAGGCAGGAGAATTGCCTGAACCCAGGAGGCGGAGGTTGCGGTGAGCCGAGATAGCGCCATTGTACTCCAGCCTGGGTAACAAGAGTGAAACTCTGTCTCAAAAAAAAAAAAAAAGCGTAAGTCACATCCTGTTGCTTCCCTGCTCAGAACCTTCCTGAGCTTTCCTGTCTCACCCAGAGTTGTCATTGTAGACATCAGCATTGTGTTTGGAGATTGAGAATTCAGAGAGGTCCGAGTCTGCCATCTGGCGTGACTTTCCATAGTTGTGCTCTGACAGAGAAGGTAAGGAGTGGGGTTGGTCCAAGACTGGGATTTTGCCAGAAAGAGGAAGACTGATTGAAAGGCAGGAGCTCTGTGGATTAATGTCTCAAGGAGGTTTAAGAATGGTTAAGGTAGGCTGGGTGTGGTCTGGCCTGGCCAGATGGCAGAGCCACACCTGGCTCATGTTAACTTTCATATGAACAGGTTTTGATTATCACCTAACCAGATACAATATGTAAAAATCTAGTAACATTCCTAAAAGAATATTTAGTGGGCCGGGTTCAGTGGCTCACACCTGTAATCCTGGCACTTTGGGAGGCCGAGACTTGTGGATCACAAGGTCAGAAGATCAAGACCATCCTGGCCAACATGGTGAAGTGAAACCTCATCTCTACTAAAATACAAAAAATTAGCCAGGCATGGTGACACGCGCCTGCAGTCCCAGCTACTCAGGAGGCTGAGGCAGGGGAATCGCTTGAACCCAGGATGCGGAGGTTGCCGTGAACCGAGATCACACCACTGCACTTCAGCCCGGGTGACGAGTTAAAAAAAAGAGAGAATATTTAGTGAACAACATAGAATAATAAGAAAAGCCTATCAGTTCTGATATTTACTTTGTTTTCCTGGGGTTTACCTAAATATTTTCATTCACATTTCCAGTTATTCAGCTTCTGAATTGTAGTTTCCTTTTTGGCAAAGTATATTTTCTCACTTATACGTAAATCGATGCTAACATGAAGCAAAGATGTGGTCTGTAATAGACATTGTCTCTGAAATTATATTAAGGATTAAATATTTCTGGTCTGAGAAGAGAAAATATTTAGCCCAGAAAACCTTCAAATCATGGTTAATGTATAGACCATTGGCAACAATGTGGAATAAAAAAATTTAGTTCAGATATTTTTTTTTCTTTACAGGAGACTTAATGGAGCATTTAGTTCCCCATCCTGAATTCAAGATGCTGAGTGTTCGTAACATTCCTCACATGTCTGAGGACTCGTTGGCATACAGCACATTTACATGGGCTGGCCTCCTCAAGCACTTGAGACAGATGCTCATTTCTAATGCAAAGATGGAAGAAGGTAAAGAGTATTCTGGCCGGGCGCAGTGGCTCACACCTGTAATCCCAGTGCTTTGGGAGGCCGAGGCAGGCAGATCACGAGGTCAGGAGATCGAGACCAACCTGGCCTGGTGGTCTCGATCTCCTGGTAAAACATGGAGAAACATGGTGAAACCCTGTCTCAATTTAAAAAAAAAATTTTTAATTTAAAAAAGAATATTCCAAAAATATGCAGCCCACAAGCTGGGAAAATGCCTGTCCTGGACTCTCAATATAAACTGGCTCGGACCAGTTAAAATAATAGTCTCTTTTTCTGGCTAGCGAGGCTCCCGCAGAAACTCCCCAGGACATCCTAGGAGGGCTTCTTAATCACCTTAGTTTTATTACCAAAAGACATTTCAATTGAGTGCTACATTTTTTTTATAATTTTTTAATTTTAATCAAAGTAATAAATGAACATAGTTTAAAAAATCAAGTAGCCAAAACTCATTTAAATATATACTTAAATCCAGCTGGGCACAGTGGCTCATACCTGTAATCCCAGCACTTTGGGAGGCCAAGATGGGTGGATCATTTGAGGTCAGGAGTTTGAGACTAGCTTGACCAACATGGTGAAACCCCATCTCTACTGAAAATAGAAAAATTAACTGGGCATGGTGGCAGGCACTATAATCCAAGCTACTCTGGAGGCTGAGGCAGGAGAATCGCTCAAACCCAGTAGGCGGAAGTTACAGTGAGCCGAGATTATGCCATTGCACTCCAGCCTGAGTGACGAGCAAAACTCTGTGTGTGTGTGTGTGTGTGTGTGTGTGTGTGTATAAAATATTATAGTAAATTATATAACATATATATTATTCACAGTAGAGCCTTGTACTGTGTACACAGATTATATTTTATTTTGTGTACCATTTATTTTTCCCTCCTGGAGTTGTTAGTCATTATATTTATTTGGTAGATATCGTCTGTACCTATCACCAATTTATCCTGAAACTTTTCTGTAAAAAATGAATCCTTTCTCTGCTAGGTGCGGTGGCACACACCTGTAATCCCAGCACTTTGGGAGGCTGAAGCAGGCAGATCATGAGGTCAGGTGTTCGACCAGCCTGACCAACGTGGTGAAACCCTGTTGGGTATCTAAAAATACAAAAAATTAGCTGGGCATGGTGGCCTGTGCCTGTCATCCCAGCTACTCAGGAGGCCGAGGCAGGAGAATCAATCACTTGAACCCAGGAGGCAGAGGTTGTGGTGAGCCGAGATCGCGCCATTGCACTCCAGCCTGGGCAACAGAGCAAAACTCTGTCTCAAAAAAAAAAAAAAAAAAAAAGAATCCCTTCTCAGATGTGGTGGCTCACACCAATAATCTCAGCACTTGGCGAGGCTGAGGCAGGAGGATCGCTTGAGACCAGGAGTTCAAAACCAGCTTGAGCAATAAAGCAAGATTCCATTTTTTAGAAAGGGATATTTAAAAATTAGCTGGGCAGGCCGGGCGTGGTGGCTCAAGCCTGTAATCCCAGCACTTTGGGAGGCCGAGGTGGGTGGATCACGAGGTCAAGAGATCGAGACCATCCTGATCAACATGGTGAAACCCCGACTCTACTAAAAATACAAATAATTAGTTGGGCATGGTGGCACATGCCTGTAATCCCAGCTACTCAAGAGGCTGAGGCAGGAGAATTGCCTGAACCCAGGAGGCGGAGGTTGTGGTGAGCTGAGATTGCCCCATTGCACTCCAGCCTGGGTAACGAGCGAAACTCCATCTCAAAAAAAAAAAAAATTAGCTGGGCCTACAGTCCTAGCTACATAGGAGAGTGAGGCAGGAAAATTCCTTGAGCCAAGGGGTTTGAGTTTAAAATGAGCTATGATCATGTCACTGCACTCCAGCTGGGGCACAAAAAAAGACCTCTTTCTCAATATGTTTAAACCCATCAGGTAATTCATTACTTTCATTATCTGCTTAGAGATACCTTTCTAAAAGGCCTTTGTCTTCCAATTCCAATCTGGACTGACTGCTCTCCAGGCTTGATAAGCAGCCAGCCCTGGCATCTCTCTTGCCTCATCCTGTGTTATGTTTGTGCCTCCTAGATTTCAGATCTGCTTTCTTGGTTTATTCCCTTATATTGATGGACCATACTTTCCAGGAGCTCCCTAAGAAAAAGCACAAGGAAAATAAAGTGTTTGAGGCTCTAAGTAGCATCATTCTGTTCTGCCGTTGCCTTTGAATGATAGTTTGGCCTGGAATAGGATTCTAGGTTGGTAATCCTTTTCACTGAGTATTTCAAAGGCATTGCTCTGTTATCTTCCCATTTGCAGTGCTGCTGTTGAGAAGTCTCATGTCGTTCTGATACCCTGTCCTATTTTGTTATCTCTTGAAGCTTTTAGTATTTTCTCTTTGTCCCCAGCATTCTGAAAGTACTTGGTGTGGGTCTTTGGTTTATCTCAGTAGAATGTAAGCTTTCTTATCTATTTGGTTTACTGTTGCCTCTTTGGAGCCTGGAACAGGAAATGCTCAGTGATTATTTGCTGAGTATGTTGCTCTGGGCACTAAATGGACCCTCATGGACATTGCAGACTTGTGTGGTTTTCACAGTAAGGTGATCTGCCTGGCCATTTTATTGCTGGGCTTCCAAATATCATACTTAGCGTATCTTATCTCTTGATCAGTTGCTTCCTCCTCCATCTCTTTCCTGAACGCATAATAAGCCTGGCTGCCAGCCTTTACAGAGTTGGATGAAGAAGACATAGGCTGTTAACCTTTCCTGTGAAACCAGTGACCTGGTTTTCCAAAAGGTTCTCTGCAGGGCTGTGCTTGGTGTCACTGAGGCCAGAGCCTCTGAGGTTTAGCCTTTTGACAGCAGAAACCTTCTAGGGTGAAAGAGCTCACTCCCCCTGCAGCAGGGAGTGGGGAAGGGGCTCTCACTGCTTCTCAAACAGATTTTCAGTTAATCCTCCTGTTTTCTTTTTCTTTTCTTTTGTGTGTGTGTGTGTATGTGTGTGTGTGTGTGAGAGAGAGAGATGGAGTCATCTTGGCTCACTGCAACCTCTACCTCCTGGATTCAGGTGATCCTCCTACTTTAGCCTCCCAAGTAGCTGGGATTACCAATGTTCACCAGCATACCTAGCTAATTTTTGTATTTTTAGTAGATTCGGGGTTTTACCATGTTGGCCAGGCTGGTCTTGAACTCCTGGCCTCAAGGGATCCTCCCACCTCAAATCTGACCTCAAGTACTGGGATTACAGACATGAGCCACCGTGCCCAGCCTTTTTGCCACCTTGAGAAGTGTCTGGTCTACTTCCAGGACCTCAACTGTGGGCAGAATTTTTAGCTTTTTCTTGTGGAGTCAGTAACCATTAGTTCATTTGATTTCCAGCTTCTAAAATTTTGTTGCTGTTAATCTTCTCTCTAGTTCCCTTTTTTTCTTGTTTATGCTTATCCTTTTATTGATTAAGCAGGATCTAGGGAGAGGGTGGCAGTAAACTAATATGTTCAGTCTGTCATGTTTAACTAGAAATCACTAGTAGGTATTAATTGCATAAGTTAGGTTTTTATACTATGAAAGTAGATTTTCTCAAAACTAATTCGTAATATCTTACGGATTTTAGATTATAGTGCCAGAGGTTTGGAAAGAAGTAGAAAGTTCACATCTAAAAGTAGTGCTTCCTGAATTTTTTGGCAATAGTACCTGTTTTTCTAGCAATACCTGTTAATACCACAAGGAACACAGTGTTCCTTAGAGTCTTGTGAGACGTGCTGCTCTGAGCTCTCTTAGGTCAGTAAACCACAGTTTGCTGAGTTATTTTCCCATATAGAACTTTAGGGTGTCAACATTTTTTCACAGTTGTATAGTTTGAACATATAAATGTTTTCATACACAGGTATGAATAGTATATGAATAAATATATTTATGGCACAAACCAGGTTGAAGGATCTAGTTTTATAACTCTTTATGTATTCTCTGCTCTGTGGAAAGGTTTTGTTTGGTTCTGTCTTTGAGACAGGGTCTCACTCTGTCACCTAGGCTGGAGTGCAGTGGTGCGGTCATAGGTCACTGCAGCCTCAAACTCCTGGGCTCAAGTGATCCTCCTATTGTAGCCTCCTGAGGAGGCAGGACTACAGGTATGTACCACCACACCTGACTAATTTTGTTATTTTTTTTTGTAGAGATGGGGTCTCACTATGTTGCCCAGGCTGGTCTTGAACTCCTGGTTTCAAGTGATCCTCCCACCTTAGCCTCTCAAAGTGCTGGGATTACAGATGTGAGCCACTGCGCTTGGCCTCTATGTAAAGATTTACCCCGTTTCTATCACCATCAGTATCTGTTTCTACATGTTCTACCATCAGGGAGAATGCGTGATCCAGGAGGGAGCAAGTCACGGGCGCGGTGGCTCATGCCTGTAATCCCAGCACTTTGGGAGGCCGAGGTGGGCAGATCACGAGGTCAAGAGATCGAGACCATCCTGGCCAACATAGTAAAACCCCGTCTCTACCAAAATAATCCAAAAAAAAAAAAAAAAAAAAAAAAACTAGCTGGTCATGGTGGTGCGTGCTACTCGGGAGGCTGAGGCAGGAGAATTGCTTGAAGCTGGGAGGCGGTTCAAGCAAAAAAAAAGTTAATGCTTTTTTTTTTTTGAGACAGAGTCTTGCTCTGTCACCCAGGCTGGAATGCAATGGCATGGTCTCAGCTCACTGCAACCTCCACCTCCCAGGTTCAAACAATTCTCCTGCCTCAGCCTCCCAAGTAGCTAGGATTACAGGTGCCTGACACCACACCCAGCTAATTTTTGTGTGAGTGTTTTTAGTAGAGACAGGGTTTCACCATGTTGGCCAGGCTGATCTCAAACTTCTGACCTCAAGTGATCTGCCTGTCTCAGCCTCCCAAAGTGGTAGGATTACAGGCCTGAGCCACTGCTCTGGCCTTGAAGTTAATGCCTTTTATGAGCTAGCTCTGGAAGTATTTCTGCAACATCCATTTGGTTAAGGTCAGCCCTCTCCAGTGTGAGAGCATACTGCCCAAGGGCTTGAATAAGAGGAAGCAAAGATGATTGGGGTCATGTTGGAGGCTCATAACTGTTCTCTGCCCTGTCTGTAATAAGTCATGTCCTCCCACATGCACAGTACACTCCTCCCATCGCAGGGCCCCCAAAAGTTACATCCCATTAGCACATTGGTCCAAAATCTTATCCTCCAAAAGCAGCCTGGATTTATACTCCTCAGGTGAGATTTCTCACTCTGTCACCCGGGCTGGAGTGCAGTGACATGATCACAGCTCACTGTAGCCTTGATCTCCTGGGCTTAGGCAATCCTCCCCACTAAGTTTCCCAAGTAGCCAGGACTACAGGTGCATGCCACAGATGCCAGACTAATTTTTTAGTTTCTTTGTTTTTTTCTTTGAGACGGAGTCTCGCTCTGTCACCAGGCACCAGGCTGCAGTGCAGTGGCGCAGTCTCGGCTCACTGCAATCTCCGCCTCCCAGGTTCAAGCAATTCTCCTGCCTCAGCCTCCCGAGTAGCACGCGCCACCATGCCCAGCTAGTTTTTTTTTTTTTTTTTTTTTTGGATTATTTTGGTAGAGACGGGGTTTTACTATGTTGGCCAGGATGGTCTTGATCTCTTGACCTCGTGATCCGCCCACCTCAGCCTCCCAAAGTGCTGGGATTACAGGCATGAGCCACCGCGCCCGGCCTAATTTTTGTATTTTTTTTAGAGGCAGAGTGCACTATGTTGTCCAGGACCGGTTTCGAACTCCTGGGCTCTAGAGATCCTCCCACTGCAGCCTGCCAAGTGCTAGGATTACAGGCGTGAGCCACCACAACCAGCCTAAGATTTCTTGAGTATAGCCTTTTGAATATAATTTTTTGCCCCAACAAACTCTAATGGAATAGGCATAGGAGAATTGGTAGATCCTCCCTTTGAAACAGGGAAAATGATGCCTGTAGTCCCAGCTACATGGGAGAATAAGGTAGGACTATTTGAGCTCAGGAGTTCAAGGCTGCAGTGAGCTATGAGCACACCTGTGAATAGCCACCGCACTCCAGCCTGGGTGACATAGGGAGACCCTGTCAAAAAAAAAAAAAAAAAACATTAAAATACACATACCACAAGACCATTTTTCTCCTTTAGTTCAGTCATTTATGAAATCTCTTGCTTTCAGGCTAGGCACCGCGGCGACTCCTATAATCCCAGCACTTAGGGAGGCCAAGGCGGGTGGATCATTTGAGATCAGAAGTTCAAGACCAGCCTGGCCAATATGATGAAACCCCATCTCTACTAAAAATACAAAAAAAATTAGCTGGACATGGTGGCGCACGCCTCTAATCTCAGGTCCCCTGTTACTGGAGGAGACTGAAACAGGAGAATGGCTTGAACCCAAGAGGCAGAGATGGCAGTGAGCCGTGATCACGCCACTGCACTCCAGCCTGGGCGACAGAGTGAGGCTCCATCTAAAAATAAATAAATAAAATATCTTGCTCTTTTTTTTTCTTTCGGTAGGAATTGATTGGCAAGTACGGCCTCCTTTATCAGGACTTCCTCCTCTTGGTAAAATGTCTCTCAGCAAAGACCTGCATTTTAACACTTCCATTGCTAACTTGGTCATTCTTCGTGGGAAAGACGTGCAAAGTGCAGATGTGGGTAAGAAATTAAGGTGAAAATTAACATGTACATTTTGTACATGTACATGCTTTGTGATATAAATTTTTTTTTTTTTTAGATGAAGTCTTGCTGTGTCACCCAGGCTGGAGCGCAGTGTTACAATCTCAGCTCACTGCAACCTCCGCCTCCCAGGTTCCAGTGATTCTCTTGCCTGAGCCTCCTGAGTAGCTGGGACTACAGGTGTGTACCACCATGCCCAACTAATTTTTGTATTTTTTAGTATAGATGGGGTTTCACCATGTTGATCAGGCTGGACTCGAACTCCTGGCCTCGTGATCCTTCCGCCTTGGCCTCCCAAAGTGCTAGGTTTACAGGCATGAGCCACCACGTCCGGCCAGTACAAATGGTTTTTGTTGTTGTTGTTGTTTTTCTTTCTTTTTTTTTTAAGATGGGGTTTCACCATGTTGGTCAGGCTCGACCTCAGGTGATCCGCCCACCTCGGCCTCCCAGAGTGCTGGGACTACAGGCATGAGCCACTACACCCGGCCACAAATGGTTTTTTAAAAGTCCCTATATTGGCTACTTGGGAGGCTGAGGCAGTAGAACCGCTTGAACCCTGAAAGCTGAGGTTGCAGTGAACTGAGATCACACCACTGCACTCCAGCCTGGGTGACAGAGCAAGACCCTGTCTCGGGAAAATTAAAAAAAAAAACAAAAAACCTTCCTGTGTTTATTCTTTAAGAACAAACGTAGGCCAGGCGCGGTGGCTCACGCCTATAATCCCAGCACTTTGGGAGGCTGAGGCAGGTGGATCACGAGGTCAAGAGATCGAGACCATCCTGGTCAACAAGGTGAAACCCCGTCTCTACTAAAAATACAAAAATTAGCTGGGCACGGTGGCACGCGCCTGTAGTCCCAGCTACTCGGGAGGCTGAGGCAGGAGAATTGCCTGAACCCAGGAGGCAGAGGTTGCGGTGAGCCGAGACCACGCCATTGCACTCCAGCCTGGGTAACAAGAGCGAAACTCCATCTCAAAACAAACAAACAAACAAAAAACAAAAACAACAACAAAAGTAATAACTAAGTGTTTTAGTGGCAAAAATTGACCATGGTATCAGTTAGTATGTGACTAGACACCAATATAAAAGTGATTTAAACAAGATAAAAGTATAATTCCTTCAGCCAGGTGTGGTAGCATGTAGTCCCAGTTACTTGGGAGGCTGAGGCAGAAAGATAGCTTAAGCCTAGGAGATCAAGGCTTCAGTGAGCCATCATTGTGTCACTGCCCTCCAGCCTGGGCAACAGAGCAAGACCCTGTCTCTATTAAAAAAAGAAAAAGAAAAAAAAAAAGAATTCTGGGCGTGGTGGCTCACTCCTGTAATCCAAGCACTTTGGAGGCCAAGGCGGATGAATCACCTGAGTTTGGGAGTTCAAGACCAGCCTGACCAACATGGTGAAACCCCGTCTTTAAAAAAAATAAAGAATTGTATTCTAAACATCCGGCTACCCTCACCCTTACCTTACCATCTAGCTGCCTCCTTATAGTCATAGAAATGAGCAGAGAAGGGCCTGTTTTTTGAGATGGGATCTTACTCTGTCACCCAGGCTTGAGTGCATTCTCCTGAGTAGCTGAGATTATAAGCCTACACCACCATGCCTAGCTAATTTTTGTATTATTAGTAGAGATGGGGTTTGCCATGTTGGCCAGACTGATCTTGGGCTCCTGACCTCAAGTGGTCCACCTGCCTCAGCCTCCCAAAGTGCTGGGATTACAGGTATAAGCCACTGCACCCAGCCAGGCCTGCCTCCTTTTCTGAAAGTCCCATATCACACTTGAATTTCTATCCTATTGACTGGGACTGAGTTCTGTGCCATATCTCACTGCAAGTTCAGTTAAAGTTTATGGGGATTGATACTAAAGAAGGGGTGAACAGGAATTGCTAAGGAGCAGGAATTGTTAGAAAACCCAGTAGTATCTGTGACAAGCATTTTGTTTGTTTGTTTTTTTTGACATGGAGTTTCGCTCTTGTTACCCAGGCTGGAGTGCAATGGCGCAATCTCGGCTCACCGCAACCTCCGCCTCCTGGGTTCAGGCAATTCTCCTGCCTCAGCCTCCTGAGTAGCTGGGATTACAGGCACACGCCACCATGCCCAGCTAATTTTTTAAAAAATATTTTTAGTAGAGACGGGGTTTCACCATGTTGACCAGGATGGTCTCGATCTCTTGACCTCGTGATCCACCCACCTAAGCCTCCAAAGTGCTGGGATTACAGGCTTGAGCCACCGTGCCCGGCCCTTCATTTTGTTACAAATTTTTCAGGAAGTTGAAAAAACATTATTCTTTCTTCCTTTTTTTTTTTTTTGAGACAGAGTCTTACTCTGTCGCCCAGGCTGGAATGCAGTGGTGCAATCTCAGCTCACTGCAACCTCTGCCTCCTGGGTTCAAGTGATTCTCCTGCCTCAGCCTCCTAAGTAACTAGGATTATAGTTGTGCACCACAACACCCGGCTAATTTTTGTATTTTTAGTAGAAACGGGGTTTGACCATATTGGCCAGGCTCATCTCAAACTCTAGACCTCCAGTGATCCACCTGTCTGGGCCTCCTGTAGTGCTGTGATTACAGGTGTGAGCCACCGTGCCCAGCTGGAAGAGCATTGTTCTTATTAGCTTTGTTTTTCTTTCTTTCTTTCTTTCTTTTTTTGAGACGGAATTTCTCTGTTGTTACCCAGACTGGAGTGCAATGGCACGATCTCAGCTCACCACAACCTCCACCTTCTGGGTTCAAGCATTTCTCTTGCCTCAGCCTCCCAAATAGCTGGGACTACAGGCGCACACCACCATGCCCAGCTAATTTTTGTATTTATAGTAGAGACGGGGTTTCACCATGTTGACCAGGATGGTCTCGATCTCTTGACCTCGTGATCCACCCGCCTCGGCCTCCCAAAGGGCTGGGATTATAGGCGTGAGCCACCGCACCCGGCCTAGCTTTGTTTTTCTATGCAAGTTTCTGGGTTCATTTTATCATGACTTCAGCAAGTATCATGTTTGCTACTTCATGTAATGGTACAGAGAAAACCAAGACCCAGCACAGTGGCACATATGTGTAATTCCAGCACTTTGGCAGGCTAAGTCAGGAGGATCGCATAAGGATAGGAGTTCGAAACCAACCTGGGCAACATAGCAAGACTCCATCTCTACAAAGAATTTTAAACGTTAGTAAAGTATAGTGGTATACACCTGTAGTCCCAGCTAGGAAGACTAAAGCAGGAGGGTCACTTGAACTCAGGAGTTTGAGGATTCAGTGACCAATGATGGTAGTGCCACTGCGCTCCAGCCTGGGTGACAGAGTAAGACCCATTATCAAAAAGAATACAGAAAACCAAACATTCTAGTCCCAGTAATGCCCCTTAGAGAAAGAACAAATAATCTTTTAAAATAGGGCCAGGCACAGTGGCTCACGCCTATAATCTTAGCACTTTGGCAGAGGTGGGACAATTATTTGAGCTCAGAAGTTTGAGACCACCAGCCTGGGCAACATAGTGAGACCCCATCTCTACAAAAAAATGAAAATATTAGGCATAGTGGTATGTGCCTGTAGTCAAAGCTACTTGGGAAGCTGAGGTGGGAGGATCACATAAGACCAGGAGGTGAAGGCTGCAGTGAGCTGTGATAGAGCCTCTACATGCCAGCCTGGTGACAGACAAGATCCTGTCTCAAGAAAACAAAAAATTCGCATTATTTTACTTTTAGATAAATGATCCATATTCATTGTATAGAAAAGAAAGGGACAACTCTGGTTTCTCTTCAGATCACATAAATCTTTCATCTTTTACTAAAGATTTCCGTGGAGAGGAACAATTCTGGGTCTTTATCCAATTTTTTGTTTCGGCAAGGCCATTTAAAAAAAAAAAAAGAAAAAAGAAAAGGACCAGTGCAGTGCAGTGGCTCATGCCTATAATCCCAGCACTTTGGGAGGCTGAGGCAGGTGGATCACTTGAGGCCAGGAGTTCAAGACCAGCCTGGCCAACATGGTGAACCACATCTCTACAAAAAATACAAAAATTAGCTGAGCATGGTGGCATGCCCCTGTAGTCCCAGCTCCTCAGGAGGCTAAGCTGGGAAGATTTCTTGAGCCCAGGAGGTACAGGTTGCAGTTACTTGGGAGGCTGAGGCAGAAGGATAGTTTGAGCTATCGGAGTGGGCAACAGAGTGAGACCCTGTCTCAGAAAAAAAGTTTTTCACACCTTTCAGAAAAGTGTTAAGAAGAATGCACACCACCATGTACAACTAATTTTTTCATTTTTAGTAGAGATGGGTTTTACTATGTTGCCCAGGCTGGTGTCGAACTCCTGGGCTCAAGCAATCTACCCTCCTCGGCCTCTCAGAGTGCTGGGAGTCACTACACCAGCTAATGCTAGTTTTATAAGACAAAATAAAAGATTTCTGATTAAATAGACAAGAAAAGATCTGTTTATTCGTTTTCACAATTTATGCTATAAAAAGATGGCTTACCTTGTTTTTACTCTAGAGGGATTTAAAGATCCAGCTCTCTACACTTCCTGGTTAGAGCCTGTTCATGCTTTCAATGTGTGGAAAACCCAGCGGGCCTTTAGCAAATATGAGAAGTCTGCAGTGTTGGTCAGCAATAGCCAGTTCTTGGTAAAACCACTTGATATGATTGTGAAGAAGGCTTGGAATATGTTTGCTTCAAAGTAAGTATAAAATAAGTCTACAAACCCTTCTAATCTTTAAGCAGATGCTGTAGTGTTAAAGCATGAGGTAGAATCTGCAGGAGTGATGGTTACTACTTTTTAGGTGTGAAGTTTTGGGCACGTGACTTCAGGCTTCATTTCCTGATCTGTGTAAGTGGGTCCTAACTGAGGGAATTTCTGGTGAGGGTTAGGTAAGATGATCTTGTAAAACAGCTAGTACAGTGCCTGGCTAGTAAATGCTCAATAATTGTTTGACGTAATTAAAGTAGAATTTCACTATAAAGCAGGGACAATAAGGTAGTTTTCAAAAATAAGATTCGGCCAGACACAGTGGCTCACACTTGTAATCCCAGCACTTTGGGAGGCCGAGGAGGGTAGATTGCTTGAGCCCAGGAGTTCGACACCAGTCGAACTCACTTAGTGAGCAGATGACTAAGGTGAGCAGATGACCTGAGCAAGACCAGCCTGGCCAACATGGTGAAACCCTATCTCAGTTAAAAATACAAAAATTAGCTGAGCATGGTGGCGGGCACCTGTAATCCTAGCTACTTGGGAGGCTGAGGTAAAGACAATCGCTTGAACCCAGGAGGCAGAGTTTCAGAGAGCCATGATTACACCATTGCACTCCAGCCTGGGAGACAAGAGCGAGACTCCATCTCAAAAAAATTTTTTTTAAATAAGATCTGGCTGGGCGTGGTGGCTCACGCCTGTAATCCCAGCACTTTGGGAGGCTGAGGCAGGCAGATCATGAGGTCAAGAGATCGAGACCATCCTGGCCAACATGGTGAAACCCTGTCTCTACTAAAAAAATACAAAACTGCCAGGCGCGGTGGCTCACGCCTGTAATCCCAGCACTTTGGGAGGCTGAGGTGGGTAGATCACCAGGTCAAGAGATCGAGACCATCCTGGTCAACATGGTGAAACCCCGTCTCTACTAAAAATACAAAAAAAAAAAAATAGCTGGGCATGGTGGCGTGTGCCTGTAATCCCAGCTACTTGGGAGGCTGAGGCAGGAGAATTGCGTGAACCCAGGAGGTGGAGGTTGCAGTGAGCCGAGATCACACCATTGCACTCCAGCCTGGGTAACAAGAGCAAAACTCCGTCTCAAAAAAATTAACAAAATTTAGATGGGCATAGTGGCGCACGCCCGTAGTCCCAGCTACTCGGGAGGCTGAGGCAGGAGAATTGCTTGAACCCGGGAGGCAGAGGTTGCAGTGAGCTGAGATCGCGCCACTGCACTCCAGCCTGGTGCCTGGCAACAGAGTGAGACTCTGTCTCAAAAAAATAAAGTAAAATCCTTGGGTGAGTGGAAGATCCTGATGTTCCTCAATAAGATATATATATGGTTAAATTCAACTCGGTTTGATACTAAGAAATGGCTACTTCATATGAACAAATATTTTAGCAAATTTCTTGATCTCTACCACAGTTAACGTAAAAGCAGAGTTCCTCAAATGACTGGACAAGGCCTCTAACTCTCATTAGCTTGAATACCCCAGGGCCCAGCCATCCTGCCTGTGACCATTCCATAAAGCCCACTCTGCAGGGCCGTGAACTCTGTCCTCTTCTGGTGTCACTCCCTTCCTACTCTAATTAAATGGTAGCAGACATTATTATGTCAATTTAATTCATGTCTACCCTTGACATTCTTTGTGCACATGATTTTTGGGCCTCAGAACATTTGTGGGGAGCATCAGGACACAGTGGCTCACGCCTGTAATCTCAGCACTTTGGGAGGCCAAGGCAGGTGAATCACTTGTAGCCAGAAATTTGAGACTAGCCTGGCCAACATGGTGAAACCCCATCTCTACTAAAAATATAAAAATTAGCCAGGTATGGTGGCGCGGGCCTGTAATCCAGCTACTTGGGAGGCTGAGGCATGAGAATCACTTGAACCCAGGAGGCAGAGGTTGCAGTGAGCCAAGATCATGCCACTGCACTCCAGCCAGAGCAACAGAGCAAAACCCTGTCTCAAAAAAATAATAATAATAATAAAGAACATTTGGGGGGTGGGTGGGATTGGGAGGACCACCCTGGAATAACTATAAATTAAATGTCCTGGGGGGCACCTGGGAGACTTCACTTTATTCCTAGAACGGGATTGATGTGTTTTCTCATTTCAAGCCTTACGTGAAACTTCAGGCACTTTTCAGAGTTTACACTGAACATGGGTGTTATGTCTATCCTGGGTAGACAGCCAAATCTGAACATGTTGCTCTTTCCTTGGTGCCTCTTCTTGCCAATTTCTTGGACACTAAAAAATCAGGGAGCTTGACATAAATTTTGAAAGTTCACTAATCTTTGGAGTAAACAAAGCAAATGTAAGACTTCTAAGAGATTCTGTAATCTTTACGTGTTCATGAGCTAGAAAACGTCTGTTTATTGTTTAAGAGTTACTCATTTGCCTGACATTTTTTATTTTGTAATTTCTGTGTTTCTTTTTCACCTGGCCAGAGCCTACATTCATCAGTACACAAAATGTGGAATTGAAGAAGAGGACTTTTTAGACAGTTTCACGTTGTTAGAGCAGGTTATTGCCAGTTACTGTAACCTCTGATCTGGAGCAATGGGAAAAGTATCATTTTCGGACTAAAATATTTTCAGTACTATTTTCTCTGTAAAGTTTTCAAAGTTCCATTCTGTTAAAGTAACCAGGTAGAATGCTGAGTCTGTTCTGTATACGATGCCCACAGAAAAGGAAGACAACTTTTTAAATGGAGAATAGCATGTTTTCAATGAAAACATCCACTTAGTATTTCATCTGTAAGAAAAAAATGGTGCTTTATTCTTTATTGTCTTATTTTTCACACTCCATTGTATATACTAGCATGAAAAATGGTGCTTTATTAAAGAACTTTGGGAAAACACTTTGCCAAGATGTTGGGACTCTGGAACTAGCCAAGAAAATAGAATATTCTGTTTTTCTACATGTTCCTGAATCTTGCCTCTTTACTCCAAAAATAACTCACAAAGCATGAACCAAATTGTCACAGTATCATTTCAAGCTAAGGAATTATAATTCTGCACTTAATATATTCATGCTTGAAATGAATGCTTTGAGCCACAAGAGGGAGATGTTGTCAAATCCTACAGTATGACCATGTATTTTGAATATTCTGTAACAGGGTAAGAGTTTCTACTCTAAGCAGCTATTTAAAAGTAAATGTGAGGATTTTGGTAATAAATGCTTATGCTTAAGTACAAAAGTAAATATGTAAATGTGTACTTCGTGTGCTTTTCTTAAACTTTTTGGGCATGAAAAAATTGGGTCAGATTTTGTTTTGGATCTTGGAACACCAGAGCAGAAATTGGTTTTATTCAACTGTTACTTTAAAATTACCTATAATGGTGGCTCACGCCTATAATCCCAGCACTTTGGGAGGCTGAGGTGGGCGGATCACAAGGTCAAGAGATCGAAACCATCCTGGTCAAAATGGTGAAATGCCGTCTCTACTAAAGATACAAAAAATTAGCTGGGCATGGTGGCATGCGCCTGTAGTCCCAGCTATTCAGGAGGCTGAGGCAGAATTGCTTGAACCCAGAAGGCGGAGGTTGCAGTGAGCCCAGATCGTGCCATTGCACTCCAGTCTGGTAACAACAGCGAAACTCCGTCTCAAAAAAAAAAATTACTTATAATGGCCTGGGCGCAATGGCTCACACCTATAATCCCACCACTTTGTGAGGGCAAGGTGGAAGACCACTTGAGGCCAGGAATTTGAGACCAGCCTGGGCAACATAGTAAGACCCCCATCTCTACAAAAAAAAAATTTTTTTTTTTTTTTGAGACGGAGTCTTGCTGTTGTTACCCAGACTGGAGTGCAATGGCACGATCTCGGCTCACTGCAACCTCCGCCTCCTGGGTTCAAGCAATTCTCCTGCCTCAGCCTCCCAAGAGTAGCTGGGACTACAGGCGCGCACCACCATGCCCAGCTAATTTTTGTATTTTTAGTAGAGATGGGGTTTCATCTTGTTGACCAGGATGGTCTCGATCTGTTGACCTCATGATCCACCCGCCTCGGCCTCCCAAAGTGCTGGGATTATAGGCGTGAGCCACTGCGCCCGGCCCCCAAATTTTTTTAATTAGTTGTCTGTGGTGGCATACACTTGTGGTCTGAGCTATTCTGGAGATTTGGGTGGGAAGATCACGTGAGCCTGGGAGGTCAAGGCTGCAGTGAGCTGAGATCATCCCTCTGCACTCCAGCCTGGGTGACAGAATGAGACTCTGTCTCATAAAAAAGAAAAAAAAAAATAGGAATGAAATTACTTATAGGTATCCAGCTGGTATGGATGATGGTTATATGCTTTTCAATAAAAGGGGTAGGAATTTTCACCTAAATTTTTCATAAGTTGAGAAAATTATCACCAAGGAAATATGGTTACTTGATGAAATTGACGCACAAGATATGGTTTCACCCAAGACAAAACATGCTTAGAAATTGACAGCTGAGTTTGAAGGGAATGTTGTATTTCCATAAAACACATCACATGCAGTGTATTAACAAATGTAAAAATGAGAAATAGGAACATTTGCCCTTTCTGCCAAATCTACCAGTAGTGACTTTTATATGGAAAAATGACAGTTCACAGCTTCACTGGTTCTTCCTTTTCTTTCCATATGGAAATGATTACCTTTTTGCTGTTTTTCTTATCAACTGTTGCTATGATTTAAAATACTTAACCATATCTTATTTCTAAGGAATGTAAAAAGTGGTTTGTTCTGCTGCTAAAAGGCACACCCCACTGCTGCATTTCGTCAACCCAAGTATACTTGAAAAATAATTAGATCATAATTTTTACAAAACAAGTTAAAATAATTGTTTAAGCATTGAAGAGATCCAGACTGAAACAATTTCCCAGACTAAACCAGCATTTATGAAGATCCGTAACTGAATGTCTCACTAGGGTTTAATCCAATTCTGAGGAAACTTGCTAGAAGTTAACTTGAAAGAAAGTCATAAATTGAAGTCATTTGATATTTGAGAAAATTCATGAGGTACCAATAGGGGCAAGTATATTTCTAATTTGGCAACTCACGGAATCATTAGCAGGTGAATATTAGAAGTAAATCCCAACTAGACAGAGCTCTGGGTCCATTTACTTACGCTATTTGACCCCTTTTTTTTTTTATGATCCACAACTGCATTATTTGGTACGTATGGGTAACCATATGTATCAAATATATATTACATATTTTTTTTTCTTTTTCCTTTTTTTGAGATGGAGTCTCGCCCAGTTAACCAGGCTGGAGTGCAATGGCACAATCTCGGCTCACTGCACCCTCCACCTCCCAGGTTCAAGCATTTCTCCTGCCTCAACCTCCCGAGTAGCTGGGACTACAGGCTACTAGCATCTGCCATCCCACCTGGCTAATTTTTTGTAACTTTAGTAGATGGGATTTCACGATGTTGACCAGGCTGGTCCTGAACTCCTGACCTCGTGATCCGCCCACCTTGGCCTCCCAAAGTGCTGGGATTACAGGCGTGAGCCACCATACCTGGCCTTTTTCTTTTTTTAATTTTTTTTTGAGACAGGGTCTCACTCTGTCATCCAGGCTGGAGTGCAGTGACGCTCAGCTCATTGCGGCCTCAACCTCCCAGGCTCAAGAAATCCTCACACCTTAGCCTCACTAATAACTGGGACTATAGGTATGCACCACCATGCCCAGATAAGTTTTGCATTTTTGGTAGAGACGAGGTTTCCCCATGTTGCCCAGGCTGGTTTCAAACTCCTGGGCTCAAGCCATCCACCTGCCTTGGCCTCCCATAGTGCTGTGATTAACAGGCGTGAGCCACCACACCCAGCCAATACCTAAATAGTTTTAAGCTTGTGTTAAAACATTTACATTAAAAATAATTTTTTCTTGTCTATTTGGAATAACAAAATTTTTGCTCTTAAAGTTGTGGTTTTAAGTTAAAAATTAACACCAAGTGGCTGAGGTCAAAAGTTTCCAAATGGGGTGGCATTGGAAATGTACTTTGATTTGTGTGGAGATAATGGCCAGTCAGCCAGGACAACATTAGCTCCATTAGCTCCTGGGCTTACAGCTCCAGAAAACTTTGGAAATGTGATTTCTTAGATTACTGGGTAACTGGCACATTATCTTGTCAAACATTATTCTGCAGAGCAGAATGCACCCCAATGAACAGTGAGCACAGTATGAATGCAAACTTTCTTATCGTCAAGGTCTTTTCCTCTCTTATCTCCCCCCCCATCTGTGCTTTTCTCAAGAGCTTAAGCTGTAGAACCTGTTTTTTCCCATGCATCTGCCCCTCCCAGCACTGGGACCTCCCCGAAAACTCCCCTCTCCCATCCACCCTTACTATTCAATCTACAACATGTTTCTCCTGTATTTTACCCATCACTTAGAACTCAGTAAGTATGCCAACAATTCACTATTATCAACCAATTCATCCATTCAACTAGCATCTATTCAGTGCCAGGCACTGAGGAAGATGTTACTGATACAGGGATCAATGCTACATTGTCTGAATGAAGAAGCTGCTTTGGATGTTTGGTGCTACAATTCTAGCTTCCTTATGATTGCTTGTTATCTTGCCTGTGTGCATATTCACATTTTTTTCTAGGAAAGAATGTGGTCCAAGAAAGAATGAACTCAGAGCTCTGGTCTGGGCTAGACTCAAGTGTTGAAATGTCTCTTCACTAGCTCCATAGGCTCTATAAACTCTGCTCTGCAGTGCACATACCAGTGATTCTACTGACCACTGTCAGGTTTCCGTATGCAAGTCTGGAGCCTGAAAGTCTGAAGTCCTGCTTGCCTCGGCTGATGTCTCCCACCCCCTGCCTGTGTTCACCATTGTCCCTGATCGCCCAGCAGAGCTTCTCTGAACAAGCCCCTCACCCAACCATGCCATCATAACTGTTCTTTTTTTTTTTTTTTTTTTGAGAGATGGGGTCTCGCTATGTTGCCCAGGCTGGAGTGCAGTGGCTATTCACAGGTGCGATCTCACTACTGATCAGCACAGGAGTTTTGACCTGCTCTGTTTCCAACCTGGGCCGGTTCACCCATCCTTAGGCAACCTGGTGGTCTCCAGCTCCTGGGAGGTCACCATATTGATGCCAAACAGTGCGGACATCCGATCGGCATAGCGCACTATAGCCCAGAACTCCGGGGCTCAAGTGATCCTCCCACCTCAGCCTCCTGAGTAGCTGGGACTACAGGAACGTGCCACCGTGCCCGGCAACTGTTCTTATGATAATATAAATAGCTCTTACTCAACCCTGCCATTGTAACTGAACTTACTCTGCAACACCCCCGGCCCCCAAAAAAACTACCCAAACCTATCAAACCAATTCCTATCCCACTGCCCTTTACTAATGCCCTTTCCGGCCTTAGCCCACCTGCACCCAGGTGAATAAACAGCCATGTTGCTCACACAAATCCTGTTTGGAAGGTCTCGTCATTCAAAGCGAGAGTTTTTCAGTATTTGGTGCCGGAAACCTGGGATGGGGGAACTCCTACGGAAGACCAAACCCCCATCCCTGTTCTTGTGCTCCCTCCATGAAGAGATCTGCCTGCCAACCTGGGGTCATCAGACCAGCCCACAGACGCACACCACCGGCTATTTTGGTAAGCAGTCTCTCTGGCTTTTCCATCCTTTTGTCTTTTCCTTTCCACTTCTCTGCCTTTCAGTTTCGTCCTTTTTCCACCGCAAAGACAAGGAAAATCAGGTAAACCAGGTTCTTCTTGAGGTTCATGAACAGAAAATCCTACGTAGGTCACGGATCCGGGAACCCAGTTTCCCCAGGGGTTTGACTATCGTGGAGACACATTCACCCTAGTCACTCACCCACCAGGCTCATGGCCGCTATTTGTGGCAGGTCAATGTAGAGGATGCTCTCTTTGACAGCTCACCAACGACAAGGTTCAACCCAGGCTCAACTAGGGACGCCTGTTGAGTGGCTGGGCTGTGTGCCTATTTTTGTCTCTGCTGCCTTTCCAGAACATGGGCAATCGTCCGTCCTCTATCCCTCCCTCCTCTCCGCTGGCCTGTGTTCTAAAAAACCTCAAACCTCCTCAACTGTCTCCTGACCTAAAACCCAAACGTCTCACCTTCTTCTGTAACACTGCATGGCCACAATACAAGTCAAACAACGGCTCCAATTGGCCAAAAAATGGCACTTTCAACCTCTCTATTTTACAAAATTTAGACAATTTTTGTTGCAAGACAGGCAAATGGTCTAAAATTCCCT